GATTGAGATTCGGCTAAGTTTTAAATAATAAGTCACTCAAACTTCCCCAGTGAGTATAATTCGGCTAAGTTTTAAAAAAATAAGTGACTCAAAGTCCCCAGTGATTGAGATTCGGCTAAGTTTAAAAAAAATAAGTGACTCAAAGTCCCCCAGTGAGTATAATTCGGCTAAGTTTTTAAATAATAAGTCACTCAAACTTCCCCAGTGAGTATAATTCGGCTAAGTTTTTTAAATAATAAGTCACTCAAACTTCCCCAGTGAGTATAATTCGGCTAAGTTTTTAAGAAATAACTTGTATATATTTTTTACAAGTTCCTTAGTGACCAAAATCAGCCAAGTGTTTAAGAAATGGAATATTAGCTACACTCCTAAGTTAAAAGAAATACAGAGTATGAGTACAAACATCAATTATGCAACCAATTGATCCCATGACCCGACACACGACAACTTATTTCTACTAGGCTTACATATCAAAGACTTACCAAAACAAGAAGATCCAGGTGGAAGAGTGAGTGATGATACTATAGAATCTCCCTTTTTTATATCACAAAATTGTCTAAATTAATTTAAAACTTAACAATTTGAATAATTAAGGTCAATCAATCAAACATATTTGGTAATTGTCTAAACCTACCCTAGACAGACCAGTTTAACCCTTTCAGTGCTAGGCCAATAGTTCATATTTTGTAAGACTTTTAATTCCATTACATGTTGTTGAATTTTAACTGTAATGTTGTCACTATTTTAATAATTATGCTAATTTTGAATAATAAGACAATAAGAAAATATAGAACAAAGATAAATCCCAGTATTTGTAGTAAACATTAAATAAAACTTAGTTTTTGTAATAATTTTCCCAGTTTTCCTATAATTTTGTATGTTCTGATAGCATTCTTTGAAACCAAAATCTCATATAAAATCAAAATACATATAGTTTACAACGTAATATTGAATTTAACTTTGATTTAGTTAGACAAGGTTATCTTAATAACTTATAGCTATTTTAAGAAAAATAATATTTTGCAGCAAAGTCTCTGGAACACATTTATGATCACTGTTGTGTTTCAACTGAAAAATATCATCTAAATAGTCCATGACTAACTAGTGCTGCTACTTAGTAATGCATTGAACAACCATCTGTAGCGCTATCTGTTCGCGATCAGTGGTGTTAGCTTAAATACCAGTTTTTGACTCCTCAGTCTTCAAGCACAGATAGCCGAGAGGGCTAAGGCGTGTGTCACTTGGCCAGTGGCATTCGTCTGCTCGGGGTTCCATCCCCGTCCTGTGTGGCAAATAATTGGTGACCTGTGTGTTTGTAGCGATATACTACAACCGCTGGGGCATAGTGAGGTGTTCATAATCCTTGGGTTTAGACATACACCTCGAAATCATCGGATTGGGCGAATCTTTTAGCTAAGTGGTTGTTAGTGTATCCTATGAACATGCAGGTCACCAATGGCCGTTTTGCTACTTTTTATTAAAAATAACCTTCCTCTCTATATCCCTTAGAGATTTTTAAAAACAACAATATATCGTTTCATAGCACTGAAAGGGTTAAACCAGATTGATGCCAGACAGATTGGCACAAGACAGGCAGAAAATGTTGACAATTGGTTTTAATTAGGGTCATTAGGTACACTCACAGTCATTCGTTAGAGTCAGGCATAATTTACACATAGCCATAGAGCGCCCCCGAGTTCGCGTACAAACCTTGCATGATTTTGAGATATACATGTTCGAATGGATGTGGAATAGAGTTATACAATGGTATTGAACATTTATATAGGCTTGTATAGGCCAAGAGCTGGATTTTTAAAAAAGTGGTCAAAAAAATGAGCCATATTCCAGAAGTATTTTTCAGTATTAAAAAAGTAGAAAATTTATATAGGGGTGTATAGGTCGAGAGCTGGGTCTTTAAAAAAGTGGCCAAAAAAATGAGCCACTCATTTTTCTCATTTTTCCCCTATAAAAAGTGCCCTAAAAGTGCCTCTAAAACGCCGAAAGTGGGGTCATATTCTGGTATTATATCTACTATCTACATCGTCCTGTGATACATCATGAATGATTAACAACCAGTGCAAATAGCGATAGTCTTTGAAATAACTGAGCCCTGTCGTTTTGAATACTAAAATATGCATTGATTATTTCCAGTTGTAGTGGAATCTGTTTGTTATTTTAGTCTTCTGACAGTGAAAAATAAGTTATATTATCAATAAAATAAGTTTTATCTGGTATCTGAGTATATATTTTAGAGTACATAGAAATGGATTTTATCCTTTAAAAATATGTTTTCATTCAAAATATAACAAGTGGTTACACTATACATGAAGACATTTAGTTTGAGTAGTATTTTGATGCTTTAGCCAAGTGAATGACCATTATTATGTTATTATTCTGTCTATTATTTTTAATCGTTTTACTCCTAACTTCTACAGATACAAAAGTAAAATGCAAAAAAATTGTAGAATATAATATTACATTATTGTATGAATTTAATGCACGCCACAAATTAAATAAACTGTAAAATTGCAGCACAGAAACACTTACATGGCATCCACATGGCATCCAGCATTATTGAATGATTAGTTCTTGAAATCAATGTAATTCTTTAGTAAATTAACTTTTAAACCAAAATAGTTATAATAGCTTAAATTCATTGTGTTTTAATAGAACGTAGACCACAAATCCTAATGTTATTTTCCTAAGATAATATGTGTTTAATCAATCACTTTTTCCGTAATCTAACTTAAGGTTTGCAAACATATTTATTAACCGATACTATTTTCTCTTTTTAGGTACGTGAAAAAGGAATCGAAAAGTTTACGAATTTTGTGGTATGTTACAATCAATGATATAACAATATAATAATTTAGTATAACTTTAAACATATTATTCTATTTTAGATAAGTTACAAACCGTACTAGTGTTGCAATAACATTTATTAAGTTTAATATAATAAGTGCGTGCAAATGTCAATAAGAAATCATGGCGTATGTATTTTATAGATTTGATAGTTATGTAATGTTCGTGATGTTTCTTGGGATTTATAATTTCCAACCAGTTGCTCTTTCTAACACTGCAATACTGCTTCTGCCAATAGTTGTTAATAGGTCCTTGTCAGTGGAATAGTTGTAAGTTAAATAAACGAGAGTACAACTTAGAAACGTCTTTCACTTTAAGTGAAAAAATGCCTACATTTCGTTATTAACAAAATGAAGTTAACAAAAATACAAATCCCACCTGTCGCTACTGAAATCGCAAGTAGCAATACAAATATAAACTCCAATATTAGATTGTATTTTTCGACACTGGTTCTCCATCGTTGACACGTACACAGATGTATATTTGGCCTCATCCAGACACACTTGGACCACATCACGTTCTTGCAGGCGAGTGTTTGTTTTACTTGTTGTAAGCTGTTTGTTTCTCCAAATGAAATTAGAACACTATTTAAACAGCGCTTATGCTTTAGGTTCCAAAAGTTGTGTCATTGCTCTGCAACTTTCGTTTGGAAGATTTGTGATGATGTATATACTTTTTTTTAAACTTGATGCAAATTCAGGAGCCTAACGACAAGTGATTTAAGCGTAAACCCTTTAATGGAGGTTAATTATCTTTTGTATGCGTTAGAAATGAATGATAGCATTTGTGCACCACCCAGCCAGGCTGCGTCGACTGTTTTTCAGTCACAAGTTGGCGAGGTTCAACCATTGAACATCGATGGGTTCAAGAAGCAAATTGGAATTCTTGTGAAAATTGCAGGGCAGTATGCAACAATGTTACAGTACTATCAAAGTCTGAACGTTTAACTTTCTGCTACAAAAATGTTTTTATTATGTACACTAAAAGCAATGTTCACTCTTAAAGAAACCAAATAAAATAGACATAAATGTCAATATAAAAAGTGATATATTTATTGCGATACGAGTTTGCTTTGCGGTTTTTAAAAGTACGGGCTCAGTTTTGAAATTGTAGAGTTTGCACAAACAGATGACAAATTCAAAAGCATTGTGCTGTTAATTTATCCATCGATTGTAAGGCCATGAGTTGGAATATTACGTTACGTACACATATGTGTGCTGGTGCCATGTGCTTCGCGAGGCTTTAATGTGACATTACACAGAACACGATCAAAGGCTGTGAAGAATTAATAGTCATTCATTATCAAACGGAAAAATATGTTTACAAGCTTAAAGGTTTATATAAATAATCTTAAATTTAATTTATAAAAGATCTTGCCACTTAACGTTATTCCTCAAGTGGTTGTATTTCCAAAACTACTTATAAAAGACACAAATTGTTTAACAAACAATTGTTAAACAGTTTGTGACTATTTATATTAGCTTTTCTCCCTTCTTACTTACCAATCCAGTTTGAAATGAATTAGGGTACTTCTTATTTTACGCATGTCTTGTGATGTAGTTGTAATTGATTTTTTAGGTTTTTTAAATTTGAAAAGTGCATTTAAATAGGTACAATGTTTGTACCTATTTATGGTACAATCGATGGCATTTTATCGAATCACAAACTAATTATTTAAGTATACCTCTAAGAAGATTACGACGAGCTTCTAACTGAAACAAAACACAAACTTCAACTTGCGGCGAACAAAAACAAACATCAATATTCAACAGCTTTGGTATTATTTATAACTTTGGTCTTCTCTAAGGGAGTCTATGTGTCGCGGGTGTTTCTCAATTAGTTCAAACAATTTTCAGTTACCTAGTTACCTACCTTATGTATAAAGTAGAAATATTTTTATCTAATAATCACTACACCACAAGAATGATATAAACTCGTTGTTAAAACAATAATTACGAGGTATAATAAATTTACTTAAAATACCAATATATTAAGCTCAGTCGTAAACTCGGGATCAGTCTTTGATTATGTTTACAATCAGCTGACAGATGTCAACAATGGCGGCGCATGCGCAACGGCCTCCTTTATCAGCTGTTCACTGTCTGTGGATATCCAGTGTGCCTTGCGGCTCGTACGTGTGTGGACGTAGACGTGTCTGTGTGTGAGTGAGTTTCACGTGTTATGGAGAAGAAGGATACGATAGCGACTTACAATATGGAGAGGTTTAAAGTGAGTTTGAGTGATGACCGTAACCTGAAAACCTACGGAGGAACCTCTCACGAAACGTCGCTGGCGAGAGCTTTGGATTCAGAGTTCACGGATTCATTAGGTAAGAGGATATTGGTTGAAATGCTGTATAAATTTCTGAGGGACGTGTATAGCACATATCTATGAAAACTAGTTGATCCGAAACAGGGTTAGAATACAGAAGAAAATGATGTGGTTCTTTCAATATAAAATACCTAAATGTTTGAATTACCCACCATTAGTTATAAAGGCAAAACATGTATTATATTCATTGCTTATTTTAATGAGGATCTCTTTGTTTTATGTATTTGCAATTAGATGTGTGACAGAATCAAAACTAATCCTTGAACCGTAATGTAACATAGAAAATCTCAAGAGTTAAGTTTAAACTCAGGTTTAAGTAAACAAATAAACCCTAATTAAATTATAAATTAAAACACGAGAAACAGTTTACGTATATTCAATATTTTGAATGTGATAAAATAAAATCTGTTAGTTAAGGTTCGTGCTCTTTGGAGGGGTTAATCGAATAGCTAAATAGTTTATGTTTTATTTACATAATCTTCAAGACGTTTTATTTCAATCGAGATTAATTTATGCAAAAGAAGGTGTGTGATTTACGGGGTTTTAAAAAGTCCATATCAATTAATATAGTTTTTTTTTTTTTTATAAATATATCATCTTTGTAAGTTTGGAGGCCGAATAATGTAAAATTAGTTTATTTGAAGAGGGTTATAACAATTTTTCTCTGTATAACTGACCCATTTTAAGCCCACTTACGATACAAATAATAATAAGATATGACAAGAACAAGGCTATACCGTGATACTGTTAGTGCTCATACACAATACACATATTCATTAAGGGTAATTTTAGATTTGGTTTACCACTTTGACTTATTGTTGGTAAAGTGTCGAGCCAAAATATAATATTGCAGCGTTAAACCTTTGTTTCAACCAGTTGAACTCAACATTGAATGATTAATGAAAGAGTTGCCCACAACTAGGTCAGATTGTTCATTTAAAGTTGAATGTCACACGATTGTTAAGGTTTACTTGATTTAATTAATCTGTGGCTATTAAACGAAGTGTTAATGTTAATGTAACTATTGTTTCCATAAATAAACGTCGATTAATAAAATATTTTTGGATACCTCTATAATTTAATTAAAATCTAGGATATAAACTTATTATCAATCTTTAAATAAGTAAAATATTACTAGTTTGAAGATTGACAATCGTCAATGAGCAGTGCAACAGCTGATACATTTACAGCCAGTATTCAACATGATCTAATTATGGTATAGACCTACATTACTTCTCTTGGAAGCTACATAGTACAAGCTTACCATTTTGTGTTTGTGTGAATGATTTTTAATAAACTGCTGTAAAATACATCGAGTGCGATAAAACAAAACAGTGCAGATACAATGTAAGGTCCTACGAATTCAATGCACTTTAAACTTATTAAAACTCTCTTACTAAGCATTTGTATAGCCACTGAATGGAGTTTTCATTCATGCATAGCCATTTACCAGTTCCAAGATATACAGCATACAGTTTATACATGGTGTCCCATTTATCACACTCGATAGTGTAATGAGCGAAAACATGTGTTGACAAAGTGGATAAAGACTTAATTGCTGACAGACCAGACAGTTGCATAAAAGCATTACAGAACGAAATACATGCTCGGGCTAACATAATGACATTCATGTACAAAATTACCCTTTCTTTACCTTTTTGTTGACTGCACTTCTCGAGTTTTCTTCACCATTCAGTCCTATCTGTGTACTTTATAATTTTTTATAGTTTGCAATTCGGTTCTGTTAAGGCATCTGTACGTTTGCCAATGAAAGCTACAAAATTATCATCTGTTTGCTCGGCATTCTAGTGTAACCAAAATATATTCATATTGTAATTTTTCTGTGAGTTCTAAAAAGATTAAGAGTTAAATAAAATTATGATTTGTAAAACAAATTTCTAAACAATAAAAACTTATTTGAGGAGTTAAACAAAATCACAATGATTCATTGACACTATACTCTGTTGTCATTCATCGTTCAGATAGTTTGAGTGTAGTTTTCAATAGTCATTGTTAATAACCTAAAATATAAACTGAATTATAAACACACATTCCTCTATCCAATTTATTAGTTTTGTCGGTTTCTTTTACTTTTCTGTAAATACGTTTCATACATTCTTCAGTGTAACCCACGACTTAATTAATTTTTTTTCAACGCATTAACTACTAATTTTAAACTAACTCACTAAGACCTAGGCATGTTGCTTAGCACTGTTTGGTTTTGGTTTATTTAGGTTATTTGAACGTGAGTTATTATTCCCAACTCCTTTCAAATATAACTCCTTCGATATAACTGAAATGTGTTGTACTAATTTACCACGAATAGAATAAGGTGAGATTGGAACATAGCTTTAATTGGCAAGTTGTATTATTTGTACCAAATCTCATTGGACATACTTGTAACCCTCTCCTTGTTGGAATGAAACAAAACGTAGGCAAGTTGGCATTTCCTCGTTCTTATAAGGAAACTGTCACGACACAATTGGGGCACAACAAACTGAAGTAATTATCTATGTTATGAACATAGATCACAGGCTTTTAGGTCACATTTTAGGTTTTAATTGAAAGCAATTGAAATATTTCATCAAATTACAAATTATACCATTTCAGTAAAAGATTTACATTTATTTAGGAAAACAAGTAAAATTAAATTCTTAAATAATTTTTTTGCTTATTATTTATTATTTATTTATTCTTCTACTGCTGTAATATTATTCAATGCTTTCATTGAATAATAGATCATTATTGTACGCAAATCTAAGTCGGATAAACGATATATCGAGTTGATATAATATCATGCATATAGAATTGTCGGCAATAAATATAAAAACAAGATTAGAAGCTGGTGAATAGTATATTTCATCGCCAGAAGTGAAAGTGGCTGTTTTTGGTACGGAATGGTAAGGCACTTTCGCTCCGTTGATGAACAAATATTTTCATCATACTGTGCAAAAAAACCTTCTAATCTTTACAAAGTTGGACCACATAATTTGAGGTTATACAAAGTCCTCATCAATGTCTACATTTCTGTTGTTTTCTAACATTACTTAAATATAACATTTATAATGTGCAACAAACGTTAAAGGTTAGCCAACCGAAACATTTTGTGGATTTTGTGAACCATTTACAGAACTAAAAACGGCCATTTTCCGGAGAGTATGATAAAAAAAAGTCATTCCATTGTTTGATAAATTAATTGTTTAAATAGCCTACTTTATAAGCTAGGTAGAGACTATTTAAGACGAGCATTATATATTTATTTTACTTTACCTTTTATTGATTTGGTCATTATAGAATAATGATATCATATGGAATAATGATGTCATATGGAATAATTATAATAATAATCTTCATTGAACTAAAATTGTTATTATAAAAGAGATTGTAACAAAACTCTCACTTGAATTTGGAGGAGTGAAAAATAAGTTTTTGTAATTTAACTTTGTTTTTATATCATCACAACGAAAATTATATACATTTCGCTTGTATTTTGTACTCCCAATATTTGTTCACTTTAACATTGTAGAAGCAAACAACGATGTTATCAACTCTGTGTAGAGTTTACATACAAGTTCGACAGTCTCTCTACCCTGCAGTAATCTTAATCCTTTCACTTTGCAATTCTTACGGATATTGTTCATGGTACAACACGAGAAAGTAAGATTCCACTTCTCCTTTAGACCTCAAGTTTGAGACGAATTGATTCATTAAAAATGGTTTTTATGCATTTGTTTATAGACTTTCTAAATTTACTTTTTCAATTTTTTTAATACAACGGTGTTTTATAGATCTACAAGGTATGTTTATTAAACTGTAGCAATATACAGGGTGTCTTTTAAGTAAGTATAAAGAATTCGGGAATACGTTTATTGAATGAAAGTAAAACGAAAATTTAGAATTAACATTTGTTCCAAAAATGCTTCGTTAGCGAGATATCTGTAATTCTTTTTGTGTGTTTTACATTTATTTCTCAACAACTATTAATGATATCTTGCTATCGTAGGAAAAAAATGCGATTCTTGATTTCTTTTTATTTTGACCCAATAAACCTACTCCTGTATTATGTATACTTACATATGGGGCCCCCTTTATTTTTGTACATGCGGGGCTTAATAGTTTACTTTTTTTGTCAACCTTTCCATTCTAGGATGGGTTCGAGCCCAGAACTCTTTTACACATTACTTCAGGCTAGTCCAAGAGTGTCACAGCATTATCACATGGATAATACCCATTTGTGATTGGCGGGTTTTGTATCGGGGACATCGGACTCCGAAGCCTTGAGCTCTACCACTAGAACAGCTCAATTGCCACTTAATACATTACTAAAATCATGTTGGAACGGTTATCTCATAGTTGGTTATGAGGCATTTGATTAATGATAGGTCCAGATAATTAATTGACCTTAGGAAACCCCCTGTAAGGATAATTTCACTTCAGCCCTTACCAAACCCTTTACCAAAGTAGATTTTATTCATATTATTCGTAGGTCCATGAAAGAAAAACGTAATTTATCACTCATATTTGTTAAACAGTTGTTCATTAAGCCAGTTTTGTAGGAAAGGCGGTGAAAGATTTTGTACGCTTCAAGTGTCTTACAGAATGTCAAGCTGCAGAGAGAGACTTTTGACTTGCATTCTTTCGTTTCCGACCAAAGAAGAAATCAAAAATTGTCCCTTTACCAAAAGACGATTCCTTGAGAATAACAAAGTGCGTAGTATTGTTAAAACTTCTTTGAGAAATTTAGCTTAAAGTAGATTATGTTTGATAATCATGTTATAGGATGTTTATTACATAAGCAATTGGAAGAATTATAAAACACATTTTAAATAGAGTGATGATATTTATGAAAAACATATAATTATTGCGATGGGAGTAAAGGTATGTGAGCTTCATCAAAGGTTCTCTGCTTACCAACCTTCTAGCATAGATCGATAACTAATCAATTGAGGCTCGTCGTAAACATCTGTTCCTTCTTGCCTTTGAGTTTAGCACGGTGCT